GACGTAATAACATTATAGGGGTTTTAAGCTCTAACTTGACCCTAAATTATGATTTTCAAATTGGGGATTATCAACAACCAACTCAGTTTAGCTGTTCTTAAGCACGTGAAATTTAAGATTTGTCTTCCCCAATTTGTGATTACACAATTGAATTAAAAGTAATGTTTCAAGGCTCTTCATCTTGCACTGTGGAGCCAACCCTACAAATTCAAGGTCCCAACTTTTTCATAATTCCATTGCTTATCCCTTCCCTTAAAATACATCACACTTTATGCAACACCTTATAGCTCTTCTCTCTATCACTTATCTTCTACATTTTTAACACCTAATCAAACCCAATTCAAATATAAGAATTTTTCTTCCCCTTTCTCTCTCTTGCCTTTATCCTCTTCCTTCTCTTTTGTTTTTCTGTTTTCCTCTAGTTGTTGCTAATTTCTCTACCCTTCAACAACAGAGGAAGATGAATAAAGACGAAATTAATTGTTCCCTTCTTTTTTAGGGTTTTCTCATTCAAAGAGGGTTTGTCTTCCTCTTTTGAGGTCTCTTCCTAGGATTTTGGACATTTTTCATCACTTTTGAAAAATCATAAAGAAGGAAGACAATGTGGATGTGAAGCTGGCTTAGTTTGACTGTAAACTATTAACGACATGGTTAGAGTAAAGTCCTATATAAGAAGGGTAGTTGTAGGTCCTTCAACATTCTTAAGGTTTGCATATTAGCCTTTAGTTTAATTTTCAGTTTCAATTAGTTGAGCCTTCAATTTCAATTAGTTGAGCCTTCAGTTATTATATTGAACAGTTAAATTTAAAAAATCATCTATTAACTATTACTCTTTTTTCATTTTAGTCTAGAATCTTTGTTTTCTTTCAAACTCATCTACTAACTTTCAAAATTGTTTCATTTTCATCTACCCCAATGCAACTTCGTTAACTACATTGACGGAACTTCCCAATTCTAATTGTGTGGTGCCATGAAAGCCATTGTGTGGCCCACTTAAGCTAACATGTGGCCTAAAAAATGGGAGGGAAATATTCTCACTTCCTTATTTAAGGTTAAATGCTTAATTTAAAAAATGGGTAGTAATTTAGAGATAACTTTTTTATATAATTTTTTGTATAATTTTTTATAGAACTTTTATATGTTATTAAATAAATAAATGTACTCAATATTAGAAGTTACAAATGAATAAAAAAAAGTCAATAATTTAATTAACATATAAAATTGTACAAAAAAACAATATAATTTTTTTTGAATTTTAAAAAAATTAATTAATTATAGTGTAAAAAATTAAAATCACTAACTGGACTTAACACAAGAATCTAAACAAAAAAAAAACAACTATAAAGTTTCAAACTAAACCAAACTTATTTAGAAATAATTTTTTACACT